TGGGTCTGGGGGGAGCTGTTTTTTAAAAATATCAGACAAAGTTTTAAATATTTTAGACCAGTAGGTAGCAATATTAGGACATGTCCAAAACATATGTGACAATGAGGCAGAATTCTGGCCACATCGATCAGCCCCTGGAAACATCCTTGAAACCTTCAATTTAGACAGATGGAGCCTGTGCAGGACCTTAAATTGTAGTAGTCCGTGCCTGCAGCAGACAGAGGTGGAGTGAACCAACGGGGGGTTGCTTTTTGAAGAAGTATAAAGTCGCTCTCATTTTTTTGGACAACAGTGGAGCTTTTCTCAAATAATAACTCCCAAAAAAGCTGCTCATTGTCATGTGACTGAGTCATATAAACATCATATCAGAGGAGGGGCCAACTTAGAAGTGATCAACTTTTAAAGTTTCTCCAAATGTGGCTCTAGGAAAACTTGGGAAACCAGTGCGAGATATGGAAAAGTTAAATTTTTCACAATTGTGGAAAAATGAGAAACCGTGTCTCCATGTTCTCATTTACAAATATCACAAACTAATCTGGATCCAGATTTAATTTAATGGTGTGAAGGAAGATTTCAGCAGTCTCAGTCTTTTCTCTTACCAACCCTGAAACAAACGATGTACATCGCTTTTCTTTTAACCGCTTCCCTCTTTCTCTCCCGTCTGCAGACGGTGAGCCGTCACTTCCGGAATATTCCGGTGAACGAGAAGGAGACGCTGACCTACTTTATTTACATGGTGAAGAGCAGCAAGAGCCGCTTGGACCAGAAAGGGGACGGTGGCAAACCGCTGGACTAAACTTCCCCCACAACAATCACAGCGGCAGCTACAACCACCACAACAACAACAACTGTAGCTACAGACAAAACCCGGACTTGAGTAACAGCTCCTCTGCACCCTCCTACTCCCCTCTGAGAACAGGACACGAACTGCTGTTGTCCTTAAAGGACTCAAAATAGAAATCCAGGGTGAGATGAGTTCATTTTGGCTTTTTGGCCCTCTTCTCAGAAATGCAATCTCTCCCTTTTGACTTGGCCCTCTCCAAGGTATTCCCTGATTTACGAAAGCCAGGACCATAAAGACTGCTGATTACAAGGACTCACTCTGCAGAGTTTTATGTCGTCATACTGTAACACAACTGTGTCTATATGTACAAAAGAACAGCGTCCGACTCAAGCGACTTAGCTGAATGCAGTATCCTGCCTTAAGAGTCAAAAAGATAACAAAACAACTTTTGGTAATTTTGGTTTTCTTTGCCAAGTTGACTGTTAAACACGCTCACAGTGAGGAATGCTTGTGCCAAACGGGACTGCGAGATGGAGCTGAATGATGCGACGATAAGTGGGATTTTTCCTTCTTTCTTCATACGTGACTGTTGGAAAAGAAATGCCACCCTGGTCTGAAGTCACATGCAGAACATTAAGGCTCAGGTTCACTCTTTAAAAGCTGCAAATGGTGAAGATAATGATTATAAATGATGTGTAAAACATTAAAGGAAGAAGAACCGAGTAAGGATGTGATGCATTGTGACTCAGTCTTCTATTTGTTAGTGG